CCACTCTGCCCCCATCACAAACAGACACCTATCTCCCCCTGAAGTTTAATGATTAGCATCAGGGGAGGGTCAACAGCCCCTGGACCCAGGCCAGAGGCAGCAGGCCAGATACTTATTTGCAAAGCACCTTCCCTACATTACCTCTGCATCAAAGTGAGTTGGGAGGTCTTATCTCTACTTGGATCACTTGAAGTAGCAGTGGAATACTGGGTAGACCTGGGTCTGCGTCAGCTCCTTGGACCTGTGCCGGGCTGCCATCAGGGGAATCAAGGACGTTGTTTCCTAAAGTGCTGATTCAAGAGCACAGGACGTGTGTGGTTGGAACAACCAAAGGGCTTCCATCTTCTACTGCTCTTTTTTAAGGACTTGGGGTCTGGCTCCTGACCCTGTCCTCAGACCCTGTCCTCAGCCCCACCTCTGGCCATCATCAGTGGACACTTCCATTCCTAGTACAATCGCCTCATAGGGGAGTCCTATGTCTTCCATCCCCCGACCCCAGGCGCACACCTTCAGGTCTCTGCGTGAGAGCACCATCTGGAATCACCAGCGTCAAGGCTGGGGCCGTCCTTCCCAGACAAATTCCTCAGTCCCTCTCAGTGTCTTTGGACCTCCTGGCTTCACCCATGCATCTCACACCGAACTCACCTGCACCTCGGGTGCACGGACAAATCTGCTCATTCTCTGTCAATCAGATTTTAAAATGTGTTACTGTCCGTTTCTATTTGATTTACGGTTCTGCAGAAAGGGCCACTTGAATGAATTACAAATAAGAATTGCATAAAACAAGACCAAACAAAGGTCTCCAGCTGAGGCCAAGGCCCAGGTGGGTCTGGGAATTGCTGCTAGCCCCCACACTTCCCTAGCTTCCCTCTCTCAGCATGATTTCCAACTGCCTGGCTGCCCTGGTCTCTCTGCTTCCTTCTTCCCTACGTCTGAGACTCTTCTGAGGAAGAGTCACCTCCCAGACCTTTAGCTGCCCCTGCCCAGAGCAACAGCCGCTGAACACATTGGCCATACTCATCTAGAACCCCAGGGCTGAGAAGAGCCTCACGGAGGGCAACAGCCTGGCTCAGAAGAACAAGATGCCACCTTCAGCTACAGCTAGGAGGACAGGAGAGAGGACATAGGGAAGCAGGGGGCCATATCACCCACTGTTAAGGGCACTTGGCCTGGATTCTGTGCTGCCATATCCCGAGACCCTGAGCATCCCGAGTGGAGGCCAAGTGTTCTGAACTTCCCCTGGGCATGACACTCCCTTAGGCTCAGTACCACCAAGTTCTCTTCTCCTCCAGTCTGCAAATAGCTGGCATGGTCACTGACATATCAGTGACAAGGAGAAAGAGATGATTGTGCCCCTTAGTAGTGCCCAGTCCAGTGAAGAAGGTGGAACACTGTCAGTCCCAGTACATGGTAGGAGTTGTGGTATGGGGGGAGGAGCCCGCAAAGATGATGCTCCACGGCTCTGTGAAGATGAGGGGCAGTTTGTCAGCTAAAGAAATAGGGAAGAAAGAATGTTCTGGACAGAGGCATTTCAAGAGCAAGGCAAAGAAAACATCATGGAGCCCCAAACTACCCATACACAGTGTCCTGATGGAGGGAAAATGTTTGAGACTCTACTCATCCATGAATCCTGTGCCTGGAGGATCACTCACTACATAGAAAGCTCTGTACAGGGAGCACAGGAGCCAGAATCCAAGCATAAATTAGTCTCTGCCCTCAAGGACACCCAGGGTGTCAGGAGGAACAAAGGGGAAGCAAGTAGCTGAGGATTATGGGATTTTTCTATATAGATGGAAACTTCCAGATGGTCTGGTGCAGTTTCCTGCAAGAGGTAAATAACTTTCCCAAGGCAGAAACCCAGCTGGTAGGAGAGCCTGGATCAGACTCAGCTCTTCAGATCTGCTCCCCAGACCCCTTCCCCTTACTCAGGGTAGTGGACACCACACGGGAATTGTTGGCCAGCCTTGGGAACTGGGAGGAGAGTGCAGACTAGGTAGCCTGTGGATGATATGCCCAGGAGCTGGGCCTTGGAAGCCAGGAGGGGCACATATGTGCATGCCTAGGACATGGCTGTGTCCAGTAGCCCTGAGACACAGGAGGCAGAAGGGGGCCACCAAGAGCCAAGGCTGGGATGAGAGGGGGGGCCCATGCTTGCACTGACCTCATAAGAAGTCACTTCTTTATTTCTGAGTAAGGAGGAAATGAAGAGTCACTAAACAGCATCGTAGGATCAGAGCTGTGTCTTCCAGATAACTCTGGGACAGGCACTGGACAGAGCGCGAGAGAGAGGACAGAACAGAGGGAGGGAGGCCACGGTGGCCATGAGGTCCAGGTCAGAGATGAGGAGCACAAGGATGCTAGTGGCTTTGAAGTGGTAGAAATAATTGAATGACATGACCAGCGAGTGCAGAGGGACAGCTGGGGACCAGTTAATCATTGTCCAGGAAAGACAAACAGATCCAACAGAGGATTGCCACTGCCACCTGTCCACTGTCACTAGTCCTTCCAAGTCTCCACCTCACTGGGTTTCAGCCACCTCACTTGGCTTCTGTTCCGATGCTCCTGCCTGTAAACGCTGATCCAAGACGGGAGGACTCTGGCTTTGAGCCACCTCAAGCTTCCCTACTTGGCCCAAGTCACCCCGGCCCATAGATACCATCTACTCAGGTCCTCTTCCCACGTACACACCTGTCATCAAGATCCAGCTCCACACTTACCAGTGGGAGGGAGCCCCCACACCCTGGCAGGAAGTGGTCCTGCCACCCCCAGGGTGCTCCCAGTCATGGCCAGGTTCGCACTCTTTGGGGGCATGTGTACAGTGTAAGCTCCTGAGATCAAGGACAAATGTGCTGGTCACTGCAGCAGATGCAGAGATGATTGTCCATGCCTTCAGGATCTGACCCGCTCGTCCACTTGAGGACACAAGTGGCTGGGAGGAAGAGTGACAGAGAGAGCTGAGTCCAGAGAGAGGGAGCCCACTGCGGCCAAGAGGTCAAAGGAAAGGTGAGGAATCAGGGAGGGAGGTGGCAGGTACAAACCCCTGAGATTAAGGTGGCCACTATCAAAAACCAAAACGAAACGGAAAATGACAGGTGTTGGCACAGACGTGGAGAAATCGGGATCCCTGTGCACTGTTGGTAGGAATGCACAATGAAGAGACTATTGTGGGAAACAATATGGAGGTTCCTTAAAAATTTTTAAAATAAAATAACTGTATAATACAGCAATTCTACTTCTGGGTGTTTATCCAAAAGAATTGAAATCAGGATCTAGAAGACACATTTGTACACTTATGCTCACAACAGCCTTACTCACAACAGCTAGAACATGGAAGCAACCCAAGCACCCACCAACGGATGAACCGGCAGGCAAGTTGGGGCACAAGTGTGCTGTGGAAGCCTTATTACTCCACTTTAAAAATAAAGGAAACCCTGACATGTGCTCCACATGGATGAGCCTTGAGGACATCGTGCTAAGTGAAATAAGCCAGTCACAAAAAGACAAATGTCCTGGGCTTCCATTTAGTAAGTGAAACTTAGTCAAATTCATGGAGACAGATTGGTGGTTGCCAGGGGCTGGGAGAGGGAAGTGGGGAGTGAGTGTTTAATGGATACAGAGTTTCAGTTTTGCAAGACAAAGATAGTTCTGGAAATGGGCGGTGGTGTTGGTTTTACAACAATCTGAATGTACTTAATGGCACTGAACCACACACTTAAAAATGGTTAAGATGGTAAATTTTACATTGTGTGTATTTTACTGTAATATCAAACATTAAACAC